GCCATGTCCGCCTCGCGTTTGAGCAGCTGGCCCGCGAGGGGCTTCTATAGACCGTGACCTCGATCGGGAACGAGACTTTGACCGTCGTCGCTCATCCCGAGTGTTCTCTCGCCGCCCGAACTGATTAACGGCTGGCGTCATGGCATTGGGATCTCTCTTCATGCGTGGAATACGATAACCAACCTCGAGGGTCGACCAGACTTGCAGCAAGGTGGCTGACTTCTTCTCCACACGCTCATCACCACAGCTGGTCAGTGGTTGGATGGTAGACTCGATCTTGGAGTCGATAATCTTGTTCCGCGTCAGACGAGGGAACTTGTCTAGAATGTCGAGAATCTGTAAGACGACGTTGTGATCCTCCTTCCACATGCCCAGCTGGGAGTTCAGAATCTGGTATCCATGCATTTTCACCACCCGATTCCGGACTCGCTCATCATCACAGCGCTGAATTCGTCCCAGGAGCTTAACCGCAATCCATTTCTCCTTGCACTGCATGAGCGCTGCCATGACCTTGGTCACGCCATTCTCCTCCAAGGACTTGGGCTGCACACTGTCCACATATTCTTCATCGTCCTCTCCGGTCTTCTTCTTGCGTGGCCGCTTCGCAACGGCGGTGTCCCAGCCGTCTGCATCGTCAATACCCAAAGCTTCGATGGTAGCATTCGACAACTTTGTAGCCCGCTCCGTTTGAGTTCTACCCCCGATGAAGCCGGTACAGTTAGGCTCGCCGCAGTAACAGGGTTGCGGATCTGCCCCATAGCGGTCGACATTGTAGTTGAAGACGAGTTCCTCCCCAGCTTGAATGTGACGTTCAGCAAAGATTCCCATGCGAAGTTTCTCGCCAACGACCCACTTGTCGACATAACAATTGGGATTGCACGAATGGTTGCAAAAGCGGCCAAGATTACCCTTTTTGGTCGCATCGACAAATTCGCCCTTGCTGAGGGACATGAAATAAAAGTGCTTGATTCCCTCTTCGTCATACTGTCTCATGCGGCGCCGAAATTGGCCCTCGTTGATGACTTCGCCCACATACTCAAAGATGAATTGGTGCGGTCGCAGGTCAGCCTCCGCCCGGAGACCGAACCCTTTCTTTTCCGTTTTGATCACCGCCACCGGAGCATATTCCCTTCGCTGGAATCGTTGGTTCTGACACTCTGGCCCACATCCACAATCGCCCATGCATTCGATCTTGGTCGCGCGGTTAATGCAATCCGAGTCTTCACCGCATGCCAGATTTTTGGAGACCGACGGTTCTGGTCATGGGTTAACTAATTAGGTCCGTAGGTGGGGGGAAGACACACAAAACAACACAGACATAAAAGACCAACAACCAAGGAAAAGGGGGAGATGTATCGAAATAACAACGTGAAATAACAGAGTGTTTAAATAAATAGGGAAGGGACAGAAAATAAACAATAAGGCAGGAGCGTAGACCAAGTGGCAGTTCCCACCCCCCTCTCAAGATGGGTTTGAGGAACGCCACCACGCGTAGGAGCCAAACGATGAAGCCAGTGACGGCGAGGTTGAGTAGACAGACAGCGCAGGAGATATCTCAGTAAAAACTTACCCCATTCTTCAGCACAATCGCATTCCATCGCATGTTCAGTATAACCCATGTATTTATTGGCGTACGTGCATGCGTCCATCAAGTCGAACGTCGCTTGAGCCTCAGCTGTGCTATCTGGCAGATGGGCAAACAACTGCGGTGGCCGTGGAACAACCTTCTGGGAAGAGCTCCGTGTTAACTTGGGAGGCTGTCCAGGCTCGAGCTTGACAATAATGTCGCCTCCGACTTTCTCCTCCACGTTGTCCCCATGATTGTTCTCCGCCCCTTTCACATTGCTTCCGTCGTCTTCGTAGTTCTCTTCCTTCTTCACCGGGGCTCGAGAAGAAGATCGGGATCGTTCTGCCTTTGGGGTCGGGACGGGGGAGGCGTTGGAGGCCGCGTTTGACGATTCATCCTTGATCATGGCTCCTCCGCCGTTTGGCATGGCTGAGTTTTCGGGCGCTGCGTCGGACTCCAGCTTCATCGCGGTCACCGCATCTGCGACAGATTCTGATTGATGGTCCGCGTAGTCATGAGGGGACATGACGACACGGACGGAGCGCGCAACTTATTCGGTGCCCGGTGGGAGATGCGCTGTGGCTAGGCTAGATCGGAGACCGCGCGAGAAAGTTGTCGTTGTGGTTGCAGTTCCAGTCTGGTGGAAGACGAGAAGCAAAGTGAAGAAAAAGGTAAATGGTGAAATTAAAAGAAGGGGGGCGGAAGGAGAAATGAAAAATTAAAAGAGAGAGAGCAAAGAAGGGAAAGTGAAGCGATGAGGAAAGACTGGCAGAATAATTCGACGAGAACTTAACCACCAGAAAGAAAGTCGCAAGTCAAAGCATCGCCCACGTTTTCCGCGGGTGCCAAGAATACCTCGAGGTTAGAAAGGGTCGAGAGCAAGGTTCCACGACCACCCCAGTGTTAGCCGGGAATAGCCTACAGAGAGGACTGAGAAATGGGGAGTCTTTCATTTCAATGTTATTGTCATTCTATTCTAAGCCATGGCGGTCCATTATCTATTCACCTCGACTCAACGGTTCGGTGGCTCAGTATACAAACCCGACACCCGCCCATTTAGATCATGACAATAATCCTTCACTGTCGGTATATCTCTTTCAAAGCACACAAAAGGTCTAATCGAGAATGCGGAGTTAAACACGCATTGAATTATACCTTTGTTCTCATCCTCTGTGAATACATCGCTTTCACAGACGAGACAGTGGGTGCTCGACGCGTGTTATCATCCCAGCGAGAGAGTGTTTGCATTCCAACTGATCTTAACCGAGTATCGACCTAGCATAAACCAACCCATGTTTGACTCGGGGTCCACTAACGGTCACTTGTTATATGTGGTCTTTTCTGCCCTTTTAACCCCTTTGCAGTTGGGTGTTGTTCAATACTGTATTTATCGTGGGGTTATTAAGATCTGAGCACTCGGCTTCACGGTGTCATGGTGCTAGGACGGGGCAGATCTGGTAGGCAATCCATGTTGTCATAGTCCCTAAGTAGATACTCGGCTCTGCGATACCTTTGCAGAAATCAGAGTGTCAGCAGAAGCACTTGGAAGGGTTTCTTTCTAAGCAAAGCTGGCTTTCAATGGAGTTATGAGACCTGGACATTGCATTCGGGGCCAAGTTCAAGCCAACGACCGAGAAAACGGGGGTGCAGAAACGGACTACAATTAATGGGAAAAGGACAGGCCAGCAAGACAAAGCGTAGGCATCGTAGGTCAAAGCACAGGAGGGAACTTGCGATTCGTAATCCTGGGAGATACAGACTTACTGTACCATCTCAAGTCCAGCTACCCCCTTCCCGTCGCATCTTCCGAGGACGGGGCACCGGGTAGTTATGAAGCAGGAAGAGCGCGTGAAAGCTAAGACGACCGGCACCTGCAGATGGGGAGACGGAGAGACTGTCCTCCAACCAACTTGCGGTTCGCTTATGCGGGAGTCAAAACCATAGGCCACGAGACGCCCAAATCACCAAGACTAGGGCTAGGGTCCGCCTGGCCATGCAGCTCCCTCTCCTAATCCTCCTATCCAATGGCTAGGTGGTCGGACGGAAGATCAAATGGCAAGATGGATACCACGGCCGGTGTACTGGACTCACATGCAGTGGAGAACGCAGATAAAAAAAGGATCTGCAAGAGAAGCATTAGGATGCAACGCAATGACTGTACTGGACGACATGTCGAATTCAGGAGCATTCTTCTACCGTGCTTCCAGACTGACGTGGTTCGGGGCGGCTAGCGATTGGAGGAGGCCATCGCATTTTGGGTAAATGCAGGCAGGAAGTATATGCACTCCGTAGGTAGCGTAGCAGAGTTCAAAATGAGTGGTGGTCAGGTAGACTTAGCCGGATGGATGGAGTCAAATGGGATCACTACCGTTTTAATGGCAGCACTAGGTACACGGAATCTCCATCCGGAGCAGGGACGGACCTAGCACGGAGGAGAACTCACTGGATGACTGGACTGATCTCGAGATTCCAAGATGCAGGCCGTCCCACGCCGGACGGAACGCTCCCATTCTTCTCGGAGTCCGTGCTTAGTTTGAACTTTCTTTCTGTGAAACCTTCGTCTGAACCATGGGACCTGGCAGTGATCCCCAGCCTTTCAGCATTTTAAGGTGAGGGAAAAGAGAGGGAAGAGCGAATCGTGATACAGAGCTTGTGTATCCAGTCAAACGTAAGACGGGATGATGGGAAATTGAAGCCATGACAATCAGGATATGACCATGCATGAACCGGTGTTGCCTCGATAGAAGTGGGTTGGATTACCGCAGAGGGAGTTGGCCTGTCTGTGTATGTACTACACTAGACTACTAGTATTGTATGGTATTATAACATTCTTGTTATAACCAGGATGAGGGGAGAATTGTTTTGGGGCCATTTCAGAGAGTACTTAGTTTACTTACACACACCCCCAGAGAGAGAGCCTCCGAGGTAACTGGTACCTCCTAAGTACCTGTCTGGGTTTCAACAGCCATGATAGGTACCTTTTTCGGAGCAAACCCACCGGCACTGATGTTTAGGCCTTGAGTTGTGCCTACGGTGTACCCCGTTAGGTACACGGCACACTATAGCGAGATAGCAGATACCTATAGCCGAGGATTATGGTATGCGATCCACATGCGTGCATTTCATCGCTGCTTAGGGCCAATTCCGTCCTCTCACACAGAACCCCGGGTGCTTTTCATTTTAGGGCTTATAGAAAAAGAAAAGGATGAGAAATCATCATCATTACAAATAGTAGCTACTTAATGTAAAAACTAAAAAGGAATGTGTGTAAGACGAGAAGGGAAAAGAGAAAACCGAAGTGAAACCGTGATGGGCTTAATGAATAAGCGTAGGAATCGACTAACTTACTAACTAATGCAGAGTATCGGTGGATTGCCAAAAGACACATCTGTGCGCAGAAGAGGCAGACCGTCTTAGAACATGGATCTTGCACCTAAGCGCAGGCCAATTCTTCCACACAAGTACTCTCTGGTGGATAACATCAGTTGCCTTCTTCAGGAAGGTAAAACTACATGCTAGATACTTCCCTCGAAAACTTTAACTAGTCATGCATCTTTAAATGAATTAAGATGAATTTTTCCGCTATACTACCAGACGGTGAAGAAATTACAGACACTAAAGCATATACGCACGCCCACATACACACGCACATAAAAAGAGCACTAGCTATACGGAAAAGGAATTCTTGTAGCCTGAGTTTACAAAGTATTATTAATATTAGGAAAGAGAATACTAAGAAATACTACTACGACCACGATGGACATCCCTGGCGGAGGGTGAAGATACGTTGGTCTGAAGTTAATTAACCTACTAGGGCGCCTAGTGTGCAAAGAACAGCATCAGCGCCATACATGGGTCAAACTTGCTAAGACAAGATCCAAGAGTTTCGAATATTGAGAGACTAAATGATAAAATACTTCGACATACACACTGCAAACACATAATAAGTAGTAAATTATAAAAATCAAAAAGATCAAGTCCATACATTTGGATCATTTCGAGTCAATCTCTTCATCAATCGGACATTTTTTTTCCTCTTAAGAAGAAAAAAAGAAAGAAAAGTAAAAATAAAAAATAAAAAACAAAAAACATCACGATTTTACGCACCGCAAGTTTTCCAAGCCCTCGCCAGCGTTTACCGCAGTCTGGAATTCCCTTTAGTTACAAGCGCTACGGGTACCTGAGGTGTGGGTCTGCCACAATGTTCCCGCCTGCCAGGAAGTCACCGGTACCTCCGCGGCGGGTACCGAAGTGCTGGCTTTTTACCAAACCAAACAGCGGCCAAGTAGGGTAAGCTTACCTGGTTGCCGGAAGGTTCTACCCTTCCTACTGGTAGTTTTTAGTACTATCGTAGTATGGTACGGTCAGCGGTTAATTGGTTACAGACTGCGCCACAGGCCCCTCTGCCATTCCCCAAAGGCAAGTCCTCCTCGTCTCGGAACTCCCTTTGTTTCGATCTTCCCCTTTTCCCGCGATGTGCTTCGTTCTCTTGGTCGATTTCACACCTCGAAACCCCCGCTCATCTCCATTACGGTCCGTTGATCAATGGATACGGTTGTCTTTCATTCCTGGCCATAAACGACCGTGATTCGGACTCGTCGGGGAAGGTCGAAGAGAGCCGGTGGGAAACCCATCGGCCTCAGTGACAACCTGTCCATGCAGGACTATAGTGGACTACCGTCTGACGGTTGATTCATGTTGGCGGGGCTTTGCTACTCCTGCATGGTTCTCGTGCATGGGCCATTGTCTGTCTCGATCCGATGTTACGATGCACAGGTGCAGACAGACCACTTTGCTTTCTCGCATTGCTACTAATAATACTTACTTGTTGGCCACCTTCCGACAATCGACCCGTCAAATGAAAATCAGCGGCAACATTGCCTAGATCGTCACCACGATGACCTGACGATGTACTGTGTAGTACTAGCCCGTCTAGCGAGTTCACAAGCGCGGTGGTATGAGCCCAGCCTGCCTTGTGGGGGAAGGCTTTTGTCGGCTGGTCGGTCTGCTTCATCTCTTCCCGATGGGTTTATTTTTCTTGTCCCTGAGCGCCCGCCGTGCCGACCAATTTGGTCGGACAAAAAAAAATTATGGTGAAAAATAAATCGAAACGGCGATTTGTGGAATCGGATTTATAAAGAAGGAAAATAAAAGTAGGGAAGAGAAGAACGACCGCAAAATTTGCTTCTGCGCAACAACCCATACTAATGCCGGCAGCTATCTCTTGTTCCCTGACTCTCATCTATTATGAGTCGGTCTTCTCTTTTTTCATATGCTACTGAGCTTCCGAAGAGAATTTTCATCCAGATGGTCAACATGATCTCTGGACCATACACTCAATCTGCTCCGATGCTAGGCAGGATGAGCAATACTGTGAGTGGACTGGAAGTATCCAGTCAGACGGCTTAGTGTCTGGGCTGGCCGTTCCGGAACATCCTTGCAGCCTTCGTTCAATCGCCTTCTGCACTAACGGGATCCATCCTCTCTACCCAGCCTCCAGGATTTTGCTCTCGTCCGCGCCTATTGCGGAGCCCAACACCCCCACTCTGCGGTTATCAACCACCTCCGCTGCTATCATTTTTCTGCCAGTCATCGCCGGATGCATTCCCGCTATCGTGAATAGGGCCAATGCATGCTTCTGCATTTTCCTGTAACTGTATGCATTACAGTACACGGACTGACACACAAGAGACAATTTGCTGTCGGGATGGATCGACCGCACTACCTACTTCCGGGCCCCAACCCCGAACCTCGTTCCCTTAGGAGAAGAGTGCCTTCATTTCTGAGCAACCTGTCGATTCCAGGCCATTGACCCAACATCTTGGGGCGCCCGTACCCACTCATCATCAATCGCCTGTCGCCCATCATGTACCGTCAGAACGCGCTGTGTCCCGTGAGAGGGTCTTTTTTTGCCCCAGAGGAACGCCTCTTGACCCAGAGGCGGCAAGTCTTGCCTTCCTGGATATGCCTAGACGATCCTCTTCGATTTTCTTCCTTATATTTATTATTATTATTATTATATTATTTCCCCCCCCCCATTTTATGTTATTCCTTTACTTCTCATCTCATTTGCCATCGTCTTCTCAACTTATCCACCCCTTTTCTAGTGCACAGGACTTTAACTTTGTCTGATTTCGTAGCCAGGGCGTACAGCAGTAGCCGCAGGCTGTTGTTGCATTGCTTCTTCACGCCGAGTCGGTTTTGGTCTTGTGGCCCCCCTGCTCTTGTTACCCGTCCGGGTTTACATCGTTTTCCCAGCTTTCATGCATCTTTAGCCTTTCGCTGCTTTTTGGCACCCCTCCTGGTCTTATTCGAACTGGCTCGGAAATTCCAGAGCTAACGCGCCCCTCCCGGTTGAGCGTGCGGTTGGCTTCCCTCCCCTCTCTCCCCTTCCCCTCTGCTGCGAATGCCACCGACACTTGATGGCATTTTTGAAACCATCGCTCTTGAAACACTATCCTTTTCTCGGTAGCTTCCGGTCTAGTCCCTCTCTGGCAGGTTGGGGTCCGCTGTCCTTGATTCGGGTCACTTAAGTTCTGACCCATTGTGGCTCTCTTCTCGTCTTCGACTCTCCAAAAGTCGCAGGTCGCAAGGTAGAGGGGGAACTAAAGAATAGGAGTCCCTGCAGCCTTCCTCTTGCCAACCGGCCGCATGTCTGGCATCTGCACCAGTGCTCTCCTGCGCAGCCCCGACTTAAAAAGTCCGTTTGGCTAGAAAACGTTTTTGAGAGGGTACGGTGTTACCTCACTACTGGTCGAGCGTCTCTCTTCCCCCCTTTTCCTCTTCTTACATTCGTTTTCACCCTCGAGGTGGTACCAGTATGCACCGTTGAAACTGTTCTTTCCAGAAATCCATTCGATCTCCAGCGACGACGGCAGCCAACTGCCCTGACGTTTCTCTCTTAGGGCCACGATCCACTTTGGTTCCATCGTTTATTTTTATCTCCGTTCCCTTTTTTTTTCTTCTTTTGATTTTAAAGCTTTTTCTTTTTTTTTATTCCCCTTGTTTTCTTCTTCTTTCCTCCTTTTGGAACTTTCCCAAGCCTTTGTTCCACGCGGTGGCCTGAAATTGCAGAGGCAACTGTTATCCATTCGGAGGTGTTCCTACTGGGTTGTTTGTTTCTATAGCCTCTCCTTACGCCGTCTTCTTGCTTTTACCCTTGCGATCTCTCATGTGTTCCACTACCTCAGTGAACGATTATTTGACTTTCAATGTCTGCTATTCAACCCATGTGCATCGGCTCATCTTCCTTTCATTCGTTTGCTGACCATTGTTTTGACCCTCTTCCTCTTTCTTGACATTTATTCGCTGCTCTCCTAGCTTGCTTTTGCATCTCTATCTAAGAACCCACGTGTTGATACACTTACTGGTGTAGACGCATCGTTCCGTTTGGGAGGCTCCGTGGCAAATTCTGTTCTTCCTTTTTTTTCTATTGTTTCCCTTGTTTCTTGTTATCGTTTCTTCGGTCCCTTGTCGATTCGTGCTTGGTGCGTGTCGACCTGGTTGGCGTTGTGCTTTGCTCTTGACTGTTCTACATCCGTAGTCGCGTGACGCGTCACTCTTTATATCTTGCTTCCAGTCTAGATTCTGGGATCGGTTTTACATTCGGTTCGTGTGTTTGGTCATTCATCAAGCAGGTAAACCGCCTCCTTATACTTCCATGGTCTGCTGGCTATGTCGAATCAACCAGAGAGGCCATGGACTGAGGAGGAGAAGGTAGGGCCTCCAATCCTCGCCCCTCTTCCTACGACAGATTTGGGCATGGAAGTCCCTCTGTCGTCGCAATTACCGGTGCTTTTGCTGACGGAGGTATGGCTGGCTCTAGTACACTCTGCTTACGGAGATTCTGAAGAAGGCCCGAGTGCCTTCGAGCCATCTTGTCAGAATGATCAGGGATTTCAACATTACCCCAAGCTGGGCGGATATACCCCTTCCTCCAGGTACAGATCTGCCAGCACCTTCCGCTTGTCCTCTGCCCCGGGCAGCTTGAGTTAATGCGACTCACTTCCTGTTCGCATTGACTGCGTACGAGGACAGCCTTTCATGCTCTGGATGGTTGACTTAGCATTGCTGATCCGATTCTGTCCAGGTCGCTCCCTCAATTCCTGTCAAATAGCGTTCTGTAACATGCTGCAACATGTTCAACTATCCGTCACTCACAGCCTCGGCTCGATTCCCCCGCAACCCCCTGAACCCTCCGTACCAGCAACCGTTCCTCTAGAAAGCAGTAGCGTCTTGCGCAAGAGGCCCCTAATTCCTTCTGACAGGGCAATTCGTGCCCCGCGTGCGATACAACCACGCCCTGCGACGAGCACCGCTTCTTACAGTAGCGAAAGTGGAGCTTCGGCCCTCTTGTCCCCAAGTTCGGAGAGCGTCACTGCCAGAGGAGAGCCTCCACGGAAGCGTGGACGGCCTAGTAAGGCCGAATCGGAACGGCGCAAGGCAGCTGCTGAGGCTCGTGGAGAAACGTATCCACCCCCACGGCGGTCTGGATCTCACAAGCTGAAAGTTTCGTCTACGCCCACTAGTCCCTCCGGAGTCGCACCAGGGTTGCCGTCATTTTCGCCTCAGGCCAGCAGCAGTCGCCCGCCGGAATTACCACGGCATGAAATGCACTACGTTCCTCCGCCGGGGAGGCCAATTCCATTGATGGGACCGAGTAGCGACGAGCGGCCAAGGGATATGCCGAATCAAGACATAGGCTCTTCGATGCGAGAGCTACCGCGTCCGGATTTGAGACAGACTTTGCCATCACCCGGAACCCTACATTTAGGTCATAGAGACACACCACTCATACGACGGGAACCGGGGGTGCCTTTTGAGCCTCTCCCACCGGACAGACATCCTTTCTCACAAAGCAACCGGAGGAGTCTCATACATCCTACTAGCAGATATCCAGATGAACCGCCCACACCAGCCTCCGATCTACCCATATCCAAACCACCAGAGAATAGGCCGGAATGACATGAAGAATAAGCACACAGCGTCTCCGATTTCCCGGTTTATCATGGCATGACGGACGAATTGCAACATTGAATATGAACGATAGTTAGCATTGGTTCGGAATCCCTCACCAGAAAAGCAAATCGGAATGTAAAGGAAGCAAGGCAATGCGCGCCACATCCTTCATACGTTATTTTCTTCTTCTTCCCATCTCACATTATTGCGCATCGGGGTCCCGCTCTTCGGCGGGGCGGCTTGATGGACAATTTGATTGCTCATGCTTGGCGGATCGATATCCCTATGACCGAGTTGAAGCGTCCGACAGACATGTCCAATTTTACTATCTCTGGGCTGGCTTAACTTGCGCGTATCTGGCTGAAGCTGTGCAAAAGTCGGTCAACCTCGTCACCAAAAGCCTGATTGGTCCACTTTCCTTGATCAATTTCCTGCGTTTTTTTCTCCTTCCTTATGCGTACATGCACCTTAATGATGCACTGAGTTGATGATCTTCCATGCATATTGAAATCTGCACACATCATCGGGCTTTCGGAGCACTATTCCAAAGTCTCCATTCATACGAACTTCATGAATATGACGTGACATATTGACTTTCCTTGTTTTGGGCTTAACTTCCTTGCCTTGCATCATGTGCTCTCTATCTCTCTCCCTCTCCTCATGTCTCCCTTATTGGCATTCTTCTCTTCTTCCGCTTGTGGCTTCTTCTCCACTAGCCAACTTTTCTTCCTCTTCCTCTGCCTTGACCCTCTCCGCTGTCTCTGAGCGCGTGGTTCTTCTATGGTCAGGACATAATATATTGTATAATTACTAATTCTTTTAGTGATCAGATCTTGACAAGGTTATATGTACAGCTTTTCAGCTCTTTCTTCAAGAGGTCATCGTGCCATATTGGAGAAAGACGAACAGAGGATCAACAGAAGTTGAAGAGGAGCAAGCACTATTAAGCACAGCTCCAAACGCGTAGACGTCAGATGTAATATCTCTAGCTCCAGCACTGCTTTACTATAATATTTGTGCATCGTAATATGTATTGGGTCGCCGTCGAGCCTGTGGCTGGCTGGTGGTTGCTTGTTGCATGATTATTATTCATACCGAGTGTTCTAAGGATTTTGCATTACACTGCTATATCTAAGCTTGTCAGAAATGCTATTATCTGACGTAAGTACAGTAGGGAATGTGTCGCCAGGTAGTTTTCTTCCTTCTGGCTGCTGCATGCAACGGTAATAATAACCCCCTTTCTATTATACTAGACATGACTCCGTAGTTGCCCGCTGTCGACCTATACCCAGGGCAGTCCTCTCCCATCATTCTCTCGATCACGGGTCCTGACTACTCCTGACCCGATCAAGCAAGGACCTTAATCTGGTTGTCGAGGAGATATCTGATGGATTAGATGTCTCAGGGGCACTAGTCGTGGTGGTGCCAGCCGCCGCAGACAACGATGCGACTGGCTCCGGAATACCACCAGAGGCAGATGGTGCAGATGGGCGAAGTGGGGCCGGTTTTTGATTCTCTGCAGCCTGCTGTGCTTTTTGTTCTTGTTGTCGCTGTTGTTGCTCCAATTGAAGTCTGATGGCGCTAACTGCAGAGCTCAGACTTAGGCCTGTGTTCTTTCGGCCTGATGCTATAGGTGAATCGGGGCTATGTTGTCCCACGAGTTTCTTCACATCGTCTCGTCCTTCCACGCGGCGGGTGAGGTACATCTTAGGAATGGTGCCTTGCCGGGGAAGTGTGCGGGTCCGGATGCGTTCAATTTCTTGTCGATAGGCGGTCTCGTAGATGTCGAAATCCGCGGCACCGGGAGACTCGCTTACAATTGGATGGGATACGTCGATGTCCATCTCGTCGGGTTCGGCAGATATCATGGTGTCAGGTTCTTCGAAGATGGGATCGGTGTCAGCATCCATGTTGGGTTCGTTGGACGAGCCGGTGTATGTTGACGGTCCGATGTATAGGAACGGAAATTCCTCCTCCAGAGGATCGCGTGCATGGCCACGGGTTCCTTCAACGCTGCGCTTTGTGGTGACCGAGCTAGCCCGGGATAGCGGGACGAAAGGAGACGGGGACTGAGGGTTGGAGTTGGATTGGAAATCGTCAATCGACCCTCCGGCGATATTGTGACTGCGAATGGACCCGGAATCTTTCCGTTCAGGCTCCATTCTGGAAGCATTTCTGCCGTTGTTGCCTGGCGCAGGTCCGGGTTTACTGTGATGGCTGAGAGATTCGCTGCTGTCGGTAAGCTGGTTGTGGATTAGATCGTCGCGACGCTGATGGAAGCCTTGCAACACGTTATCACGTTCCCAAGGTCGCCTGTTATACATGTTCAGACTCTGGCTCTTGTTGAGTATGGGCATATTGCCGCTGGCTGTGAAGCTCTCTTCTGGCTCCATCTCCATTGGAGGCTCAACAAAGTGCGTCTCGTATTCTTGACCAAGTATACTCTGCATGGGCGGGTCTGCCTTTGCCGGGTCGATCAGTCTTTTGAAGTGCGTAACCGCTTTGATCTATTGTAATCGTTAGCCTGAAACTTACCAATCACGATAGTAGTATATTGAATGAGATTGTTAACTTACCACGGCCATGACGTGACCAATAGTTTTCGTAATGGCGGAGTTCATCTCTTCTTCTGTGGGCAGACCGACGATCTCAGCGGTGTTCTCGCTCTCTGGTAGAAGAGGATCAAGTCCGTTCTTCGTCACCCAAGGGTGTTCCTGTATGCAGTCTATGAGTAAGATAATGGCGTCCAGGCAGCGTTCATGCTTCACCTACCCGCAATTCCTCCATTGTGATCCGCTTGGCCGGGTCTTTCTCCAGGATTCGGAACATCAGATCCTTGAAGTTCTCGTCGGTCTCTCCCTCGCATACAACAGTGTCGTTCTTGATGGCTTCGTAAAGCTCAAAGATGCTTGCCTTCTCAAATGGGAGCCTGCCATATCGAAGGCAGTACAGTGTGACCCCCATAGACCATATGTCCGTGGCCTTTCCTGAGACATCACCGTGTCTCACGACGCACAGTTCCGGCGGAAGAAAGGCAGGAGAACCTGCTGACTTTGCGGTGAACATGTTTGAATCCTTCTCGAACATTTCCGACACTCCAAAGTCGACGACTTTCAAGACGTCGTCACTCGTCAATAGACAATTGTCCGGTTTGATATCGCGATGTACAATACCCTGCGCATGTAGGTATTCGATTCCTAAAATCAGATCGCGGAACCAACAACGGCATTGGTCGTCATCATAAGGATCTGCTCGTTCCTCGAGGCCGACCTTCATGATCACTCCTTTCTTACACATCTCCATGACCATGTATAGCGAGTCCTCTGTAGGATCATCGAGGACTTCTATTAGAGACACAAGGTTGTTGTGATTCAGCTTCTTCATGATGGCAATTTCTTCCTTGATCAAGTAGAGAGCGTTTTCCTTGTGCTCATCCCCACCCGGCGGGCGGCGATGCAGTGGGGAGTTGAACCCATCTGAGGGACGCTTAGGGCCTCGGGGCCTGCGCAGAAGATGCGACTGCGCACGTTTCCGTAGACGGGCCTTGGAGAATTCCTTTACAGCCTGAACGGTGCATTCTCGGTCAGCTTCTTCAGGAGATACCCGAGACGATGTTGCGCAGGGGCAAGTACATATTCGTTTCCAAACTGGTCAGTGGCAAGATGCACTGCTCCGAATGATCCTCTGCCGATCTCTTGTTTGATAACATATTGATTGATCCGGTGCTCAGCAGTGCCATCATCCTGGCTGGTATAATACTCGGATCGAGCATTCAGCGTTTCCTGGTAACAACGATTAGCGAAAGAGCTATACAATGAAGAGGCAGGCGTAGTCATAAGCGGTAATCAAACAGCACGTATGAGAGTGCATTATTAGAGCAACGAGGACCTACCTTGACTGGACGCCTGACTATTGGGTTCCGGCGATGATGTCTCTGGGGACTTTCGTATGAAGGGGTGGAACTAATTTCCGAAGTCGATGTGAATCAGTATCCCCATGTAGGAGCATCCGGGAAGCATGAGTAAACGGTTGAAGAAAGCCAGAGACAGGCCTGAGGGCAGATTCGGAAGATGAGACGAGCAAAGCAGTGCAACTCACACACAGCGAAAGGGCGGCAGAGGTGGCCGCTCGGTGGTGATCGGGCTGGCATCCTGCTGGGGGAGCTCGGCGTCCCCTGAGGCCATTGGAAGATGTCGACGACAGAACCACCGCGGCAAGGATTTAGGGTCCCGAGTGTTTCACACAAAGATCGGAACTTGGCAGACTTGGGTCGGCCGTGACGAGAAGAGGAAAAATGACGGTTGCCTGTGATGAAGTGTGGGGAAAGATCGGGGTTTACGAGGCAATGGAGATAAGCAGCCGTTGCGCCGAAGTCAAGATTTGGCAAGAGGGACCGACTGAAGAAGGATTCAGTGCTGTGGAACAGGGACTCCGGGAAGAAGAGGAGGAGAAAGAAAAGATTTACTTCTCCTCAAGGTTGCGGTGCGAGATCAAAAGACAGGACCGAAGAGAGGAAGAGAGCTGAAAGAGATCGACGGGGGAGATAAGTTGAGAGGGGAAATCGTGGTGGTTGAAGAAGTGGTGGATGCCCAGGGCACCAGATTTATGTAAGGCTGATACTAAGCATTACGAGGCGTTAATTCAGAATTTCCCCGAAGAAATAATGATAGGCACGATTTAATGAACTTCAAAGCATCACTTGACGATCTGCTCGATATAATCCCCATACTACAACTCATCAACCACAAACGGAATCCTCAAACAGGGGAGTTCAGCATATAATCGGATTGTTGTTTTTCTTTAAATGGAATTGGATCGAGAATCCGTGGATCTGAGCGACTCACCGCCCACGAGTAAGATCCCCGAGTCTAATTCAACTGATCAGCTTAACCTTCTCCCCTTCTTTCCCCCCGTCAGACCCGCCCTCGATCTCCTTTTCTGGGGCTTACCATCTTGAATCTCTATCGTCGGGAAGACACGTTTCAAGCCACCTCTGCGACGCTCCAAATATAGACTGTTCGTCTCTAATCCGTTATCTTCGCTACTTTCCCCTGTCGGCATCATGGTTGTTTACTCCTTCTATATCTTCGATCGTCATGGTACCTCCCTCGCATCCATCCACCCATCCCCAGCCATTCCAATTGATGGTGCTAACCGGGTCTCTCCCTTCCTAGCTGAATGCATCTATAATCGACGCTGGCTCCCACGCCCAACCTCTATGACTGGCAGCAAGTCCTCACGACCGACTTCCGAGACATCTACTCCGGGTCTCCCCGCAACATTAGGCCAAACTGCGCGCGCCACGGACGACGATGCCAAACTCATCTTCGGTACTGTTTTCTCCCTGCGCAACATGGTTCGCAAGCTAGGAGGCGAGGACGACAAGTAAGGACTCTACACCACAGCGACGAGACAACTCGACTGCGAGGACAGCCATTAACAACTCGGCCATGTTTATAGTTTCGTTACCTACCGCACGAGCCAATACAAGCTCCACTACTACGAAACTCCGACCAACATCAAGTTCGTCATGCTGACGGACCTCAAGAGTCCAAACATGCGTGTTGCTTTGCAGCAGATCTACATCAATCTCTACGTCGAATACGGTACGCTCTGGCTTAGCTTACGACGATGACTCCCTCTACAGCCGTACGCTGACCACCTCTACTTCTAGTGGTCAAGAACCCATTATCTCCCGCCGAGCATCCAGGCGGTATTGGAGTGAACAACGAGCTCTTTGAAGAGTCTCTGGAGCAGTTCGTGGTATGTGCTTTCAACGTTGTCTAGTTGGATGTCATCTAACCGATAACAGACTCGGGTTCTGTCGTGAATCCGACTTGAAACTCCATTAACACTCTATTCGCTCATGGATCTGAGTCGAAGCGAGCCCCAAGCTTAATTGTCGACCCTCCGCAAACAAGCATCCATGCGATAGCGGGATCAGCCCCTCCTGCATCCCTATGACCTCAGAGTGCCGTCGTGCAGCAACGGTCCGGTGCGGCGGAGGCCTTCCCCGGAGTCCCTTACTGTCAACCATCGACACATGCCACAGGTCCGTTACTCGAGTCACATAAGCACAATGCTCGCAGACCTGACTTCAACCCGACATCGGTCCACGTCCGGCACTGACAGCAACCAAGCCAAGCCAGGACCAGGCACAAACTCTTGGTCAGTATGGGACAAACGAATTTATGACTTGACGTCTTATCATTATATAATATCCGAAAATGAAACATTGAGAGCATACATATTCTGCCAGAGATAATTTACACATATCACATAATTATCCATATCATCAACCATAATTATAAAAACAAAACCACAACATAACTCATACACCCTTCCCATCATCCACACTCCAACGATATACGGAAGAAGACGTAATCAATCAAGCATACCGAGTACTCGAAGTCCCGACATTGCCATACAACACCTCATCCGGCAACTCATCCTCACCAGGGCCCTCATTATACTGGTTCTGAGTCTGCGGCTTCGCGCCCCTCGTCCTACCCTTAATCACATTACTTTGATCAATGGCCTCGTCTTCGTCTTGAGCTGTAAACCCAACCAGACCTGTTAGCATACATTCACTCATTCACCCGCCACATAATCATTCCTTAATGAAAAGGAATGAAATGGGAGAAGGAAGACATACCAAGCTGCTGATCCGTATTCGAATAAGGCGGCTGCATCGGATCCTCATAGATATCATCGTCCCGAGTCACAGGGACCTGGTTCCTCAGACCCGATCGCGTCTCGTGTGCGTACGAGTTATCCCGGTAGGTGCCAGATACCGGGGACGGGTCGTTCTCGGCCTCGTAGAGGTCTTCGGCTTGACGTTCGTATTGGTTGGACATTTTGGTTGTTGCTGCTGCGTAGTAGCTCTTTTAGCTTGGGATGGGTTGATTTGGTTTGGTAGATTGGTTGGTTGGAGATATGGTTTGAGATAGGTATGGCTATGCAGCAGTGATCAAGGGGGTATTTATAGTTGGTTCTTTATGGTGATGGAGGGTTGATGCAAGATTGATGTCAGGTTGATGGGGATGAAAGATTGGGTTTGGGTTTAGGTTTGGGGAAGATGTCATTTAATTCATTGTTGCTATTCTTTGCTTTGATGTCAAGACTTTGCTTGGGGGGGTATAGTATCTATTGAGTGCTGTTGCTGCTGTACTACTACTACAATCAGGTAGGTCATTGTGAGAGGGATGAGGTGATTGATTTGTGGGGATAGTGACGGTGATGGTGTCACGATAGGCTTTCAATCGTCATCTTTGGATAACAGTACACTGTAGATGTATGGAGCCAATTGTCTAAGGCAGCCATGCTGTGTTCAGTCAGTCCTTGTTGCTACTGCTGCGCAGTTAGTTTGTATACACATGGTAGGGCTGGTTCGGCTGCAGCGGGCGACCCAGACATAGTAACCCCCAAATAGCAAATCAGCATCAAAGCCAACGGCTCCCACGACAGGGAAACCTCAAAGCTCTAGAAGCTACATGTTGGTTCGATATCATCTCAACCACAGATGAGCTCAAACGGCGGGCATGACATCGCCCTTGACTCACGGTGAAGTAATTCGCCACGGCCTGGCCAGACCTTTTGCTCGCTCACTCACTCACCGCCGCCGCCGCCATCCTTCTTCCATCAGGTCCTATCGGTGTGAACCCGTGTTTTTCGGTGTTCCTGGCTTTTTGCTGATGAGGGATTTGAAAGACACCAATGGCGGCATTCCCGGGGTAGACGTGACGGGATATGGTGTTGTTGTTCGCTGCCTTCCCTTCTCCCGTTGATGGCCGCTAACTATAAGTGCCTTACCTAATCCATTCCATCGTACCAAGAGTGTGTGCACATACACCATAAGGGCTCTCCATTATAATCCTATTTTTAATTCCAAAAATGCTATTTGGCATGGTCCATCTGACTGTTTCTTTCGTTCCTTTCGCGCGAGGATAACCGCGGAGAGAGAGAGAGCGAAGCAGGCTGTGTTCAACGGGTCGGCTTAAGCCGTGCGCCAGAACACGAGTTGTGCTTGTGCCAAGTAAGCTCAGCTCTCGCAGCGAGTGAGTGACTCACGGGGCGATCAACTTAAAAAAAAACAAAAATATTGATGAAGATACGGTCAGAGGAACTTGGGCCGTTTCTGGTCTGCACAGCACGGGCAGCTTGGCTGTTTTCCTTTTTTCACTTTCGCAGGATGAGAGAGAGAAAGCCAAGTCTATACTTTGTTGTTTTCGTCACGGATTTGCTGGACAAACTTGAATCGGAGCGCAAGCATTATGTCGAGTCAGTCGGGGAGTCGGAAAGAAACGCATACATATGAAGGCGATGGTCCGAGATGTTAGAACTGTTCAGTTCTTTTCAGTCTCAAGTGTCTCTTCTCCGCATGATCAAGATTTATGTCTCCGATTACAATCAGCTGATACTTCGACATGAGGATGTGCCGTGTTGCCGGGCATATGTGCGAGTTGTCCTTTTGAGTGTCATACTAACTTAGTAGTAATAGTAGTTAACTAGTCAATTAGCTGGTTAAGATTAGGCAAGTTAGCAGATAGTTAGTTGGGCATATACATCGATCCTGACAAAGCAGCAGCAGCAGCAGCAGCAGCAGCAGCAGCAGTTGTCCGATCGTCGGGCAAAGGAAGGGCAGGCAATTCCGGGAGTTGCTGCAGTCAGTCCCACACCGTCCTTCATGTAGAGTTTCATACCCACAGCCATTGCAGCACCTTGTAAATCGGTAGATATAGGGGAGAAATGGAAGCAGCAGCAGCTTAATCTGCCTCGGGAAAGGAACACGCGGATGCGACGAAAAGCTTGAACCGGCTTACCCGTCCAGTCATTCGCTTCTCTTCGGCTAGTTTACGTGGAGAGGGATCCTAGAAAGAGGAGGACCAGCAAACTAAACAGTTAACCTCCCCACTGCTACCGGAATCCGGGCGAATGAACCCGCATCCCAAGCCACCACTGACTCCATTCTCGTCGCTGTTGGATGTTGAACGTTGGGTTGGACGGGGTGCGCGGAGTCCGTGTGCCTGTGAAGTCATATCCCGCAATGGAATGTCCAACCAGGGGGAAGATGGAGGGAGGAGGGGAAGATCGTCTTTGGAGATACGAAAGCAAGAAGCAAGCAAGCAAGCAAGCAAGCAAGCAAGTAAGCAAGTAAGCATTGTAGTTAGGTAGAGATAACAGTTGGAGATGTGAGTAGCTGTAGCTCAGGTTTCTGCTGCTGTTTTATGCTGCATTTTCCTGCTGAATAGAACCAATTGTATGGATCGCAAGGACCACCTCTTCTCAGTGTCTCTACTACTTAGGTACCCTAGCTACAGGGTGACTGACGGGATGGTTGATCACCATGCGGTGGCTGTCTGGATCCCGCATATTGGAGGGGGAAGGAGGGGAGGAAATACGGAGCAATGCACCCATGACGATGAAATTAAGGATGTTCGGGGATCCATTTCGTTATCATCATACCACATGGCAAGTTACTCTTTCCCGCCACAGAATGGTTCAGCCCGCAATTGATCGCTGGTCCTGGATTGGATCTTCACCATACTTTACAGGGAAGGTAGAGGGGGGGGAGGGGGAAGAAGAGGAAAGAAGAGAAGGGTAGGTAGCGAACAGCACCCGTATTTGGCATTACGAGGACCCCGGCGTCTTGTTGACTGGCATTATTATCCCCGTCATCGGGATCCATGTTCATGTTCATCAATCGGGTGGCGGTCGCCTGTCTAGCAGTTTCGATCATCCCATCAGTGCGCGCAGGGGAAATGACAAGGGCTGAAAAGCATGGATGGATTATTCCCTTATTGTTTCCGCGGGATGAAATGGAAATGAAATGAAATGAAATGATGGGGTTGTCTGATCGGAATACTAGCGGTCAACCCAGAGCTGTCTCTCTTTTCTCCTCTCTTACTAGAAAGATACCTAGTAGTTAGATGCCTACTAATTCCGTAGATACCCAGGTTTCACTACCTGACAGGCTTAGGCTTTAGCTTTAGCTTTGGCAGTGTTTCTTTTGTTTTCCCGTAGTAATAACAAATACCTTGCCATATTGTCATCGATTTGGCCGACGGTGGTGCCTAAGTCAACTCAGACAGACTCTATTTCCCCTGCTTCTAACTAAGTCCGTTTCTACCCTAGTCCGGAGTACTCCGGACTTATTCTCCATCTTTGTATCCATAACCAGGCTGGGGTTCGGCCGGGTCTTTTTCGGCAGGAGGGATAAAGAAAGAAAGGAAAAAGATGAGGAGGAGGAAGTAAGAAACAGCACTAGTTTGCACGCGTACCTCATCCGTATCCATGGAACAAACATCCACATCCACTCGTGGGTATTTCTTAGCCGGAAACCGTATCGGAAAGCGGTTGTTCCTCGTTTCCGAACGTTCGTTCATTTTTCCTCGTGGAATTTTCCCCTCCCCAACTATGATTGCCAGTTCAACTTTCTTCAATTAGTAGTAGTACTACTCCTAAGTAGTACCTACACAGTAGTAGTCTTTGATTATGCTTTCTCGTTTCTCACTTACTTTTCTGTTTTCTTGCCTCTGATCAGTAAACTGATTGACCAAATGATGATTATAACCATTTATAGCAAGTAAGCTGGCTGGCGATACGATGCCGATCTGTTCATTCACCTTTTTGCTTTTTGGTCGCGCCCGCAGATGTATGCAGCCGAAGCCAGGGTTGATCCCACCAAATCATCCATGGGTTTTATCAGCGATCCGGTCCAAATCACAATCAACTACTGCATCTTCTAACGTACGGAAGATGTGGCCTCACTTCCGTAGATTGCTGATATTCCATCGTCCCATCGAGATTGGACTGCAAAGCTATACGTATTAGTTGTAATTACCAAAAAACAAAGAAAAAAAAAAAAAAGGCAAGCTGTAGCTCTTGCAGCTGCTTAGGTCTAGCTCATGGAAGATCCAGAGCTCAGCTCTCTCTCTCTCTCTCTCCCTCTTTCCCTCTTTCCCTCTTTCTCTTACTGGCGAGAAACTGGATAGTATCTCTGTCTCACACACGCACCAAGCTGGATCGGTACACCGTCACATCCCCCACTGGCGGGGACATCTTCAAGATGGAGCCCTTGCCCGGGTTTCAGTAGAAAAATTAGGGTACGTACTATCTATACACCGGATTGCAAAACCGGGGAGGAAGGGGAAATATCTAGACTAAACGTGAATGAATCAGTGATTAAATTCCAATACTTAGCTTTCCACCATGACTCGGCCAGGTTTAGTGTCCTTGGACTAGTAATGTAGACAAGACATGAGAGTCCTCGGAACCGACCCACTCGGTGTGGTGCATCCCATCCCACTTGGAGCTGCATCGCGGACTGGACAATCATGCTAATTTCGACGGGACCGTTTTTCTCCCTTTCTTCTCTCGTTGGATCGCTCTTCCTATCATTGGCTGGGAAAAATCCCTCGTGCTAATTGAATCTGAACGCGATCCGTCCACCGTGTGTGTTCCCGTCGATACATCATGCAGTAGTGGAGAGGAGAAGGGGAAAAATGAAAAATGGAAAAAAAGAAAAAAGCATGGGGCTTCCGCCGCACCTTCAACTTATTCCTCTTCCTCTCCCTCTCCATATCCACTGGATAATATCCTGCCACCCGGAACACGGGTACTGGTGGTAGATGGTGGATCCTATAAGTGGTCGATACTGCGTGTTCTGTAGGGAGTGAGGAGGAGTGTAAACTGTGTGTAACTAGCAGTAACTGGTATGGTGTCGAGTTAGCTCCTGCAGGCCATTTCACTCCCCTTCTTCTGCCCCCAACTTTTAGTTAGTCTAGCCTCGTCGCGTGGGAACTTCAAAGCTCCAAATCTCTCTGTGTGTGGATGTTCGCGTTCGTACTACCCTGGGTGGAACAATCCTGGCAAGCGACAATAGCCCCATTGCGAGACATTTGTTTGCCCAACAAGATGAGACGCTATCTTAGCTCTCCGTAAGTCACTACTAAGTAATGACAGTCGGTTCGATGGAGCAAGCAGCTTGCTAGGTATGCCCATGGAGCATGCTGGTTATCAGCGGATCTCCGCAAATCAACATCCGGGCTATGCGTTTGACATGGGCCAGGGTGGTGGCTGTCAATCCATTAACCCTCCCTACCTTCCTTTGCCCACTGCACTAATACCCAGTCAGCTACACAGTAGTAGTACTCCGTACCCTCTAAATCGTAGTTAGGTCCGCCAACCTAATACCTTTACGACCGAGGTCCGGTGCAGCTGTTCATGGGAAACCCACGTCATTGCAACCTTTTAGCGCACTGGTGGATATCGCCTTTCATTCAGTCGCGACAAGCCGGAAGACATCGCTAGCCCGTCCGCATAATAGCAGAAGTGTCTGTTGCAATAATACACATCCGAGTGGTCGCCAGGTAATAGTAGCGCTGCAGATGATTACCCTGCTTTCTGAGATACCAATGATGGACATGCTCGGCAGAGCAATGACCGCTAGACGGCTTGAGAGTTACTTGACTTGCACCCTATAGTTGCTTGTTTAAAGCGCTTGGGGGTACGAGAGGCGGCGACCGACTCGGCCTGGCCTGCTGCTGCTCCTCCTCCTTCTCAATCAGCTCCAGAAACAATATGAGGTTTGATAACTTTCGATATCCGTTCGCCCTTGAAGTTTGGACCCTGCTGACCTTGCCCCCCCCCCCCACGGGACAATTCGAGTCTCTGACACCCAAATGGAGGTATGTGCATCGAGGAAAGTTGCCTCCATCGCAGACTAAGGAAAAGGCTCCGGAGGTCAAGAGGTTAGGAAAGAAACGGAGAGTCATTCCTTCATCTGATCACAGGCTAAGGACACATCCAAGTAAGGGGCCTTCAAAGACAGATGCTACCTTTCTGCGGATCAAGAATAGAACCCGTTGGCTAGAAGCACCGCCATTACCAGCAGGTGGTCCAGACAATAAAAAGTAGTATGTAAGTATAAATGAAGGACCATGTAGCACCTTCCATTATTGGCGCGGGGAGCTGTTTTGATAACATCATACATATCTAGTATGATAGTAGTAGTGGTAGCATATGCTGAATACTAGCATCGGTGCCACCGAGAGGGCATCCAGCCCACCTACCCAACTAAGTAATAGCAGTGGCTGTATTTCCCGTCTGGTTTAGTGGCACTTGAACTACTACTAGCGACCCTCTGCCCCTCAACGATTGTCATGAAAGACTCTGCAGGATCGCATGAGATTAAGCAGACACTACATGGCCAGCTGTAGGCAGACAAGATATATGCTTGGCATAAGTGTGCGCGCGCACCAGAAATGGGGTCATAGATGGAGAAGGAGGCCACCGTGAAATGCAACCAACGACTGGTGGATGCTTCCCCCCCTTTGAAGGGGGTCAAGAGGGTTCAAGTTGGCCGCTAACCACAGTATTCGCTCTGGTGCAGTCCACTTAATTGATTTACTTCACCTGTATGTGTTGTTTTAGATGGATGATTTACTTTTCTTGGGGGAAATGTTACCCCTCATGCGGGTAGCATGACCCTTGAGTAACTTACAAAGTAAGTGATGGGCTCTAACTAACTTATTAATTATCAGTCCATCACTAATCAGAGTCATACTTGAAGATGATGGTGGCTCCGCCCTGCCACGCTGGTGAGGAGCCGCCACACGAAGCTCCGGCCAAGGTTCTAGTTTTACTCCATACATACTAAATCACTAACTACTATGTAATAGGTATTATTCGGAACCGTAATAGTATTGATAATACGCCAGGCATCCAACTCCTACCTACTACCTACTGACTAACTTACTATACTATATTGTACTATACTACTTGATACTAGTCGAACATCCGACCACTCGTGCTTCGAGCCAGTGAGCCACCCAAGCCATCGGTCCCCTCCCCCCATCCATGATGTGCGGGGACCGAGGGTTGGATTGAGGCTGTGCGGCATCTGCAGTGTTGTGATCCGAAAATTAAGGTCGTTCCGGAGTCAGTGACTAATCGCATCCTCGATACGGACAACGGCGATGACACAAACGTCATGATTTTGAGGGAGGGGGGAAGGGGAAAAGAGAATGTGCGAGACCAAGCGAGACCAAGCGCTGAGACTGGTCGCGAGGCGGACGTCATCCGACTGATTTTCGTGTAGCAAAATGAGGGGAAAGTCAAGCTGGTTTAGAAGAAAAGAGAAAGGGAGAGTGACAATCTGCAATCCCATCGGCTCTGGGACCCATTTACGTCGAAAAGGCAAAGTTGACAGTCGGTTACTTTCTTAACTAACATTGAGTGGTTGCGCGTAAATGACGACGGGACAACGAAGCAGTCGACTGGACATCGGGATCGCTAGCAAAAGAGCAACACAAGAGGAAGTGCTTAGTAGCTGATGAATGTGAACGCGGAAGCAGCCCCAGTAACGGAGTATTAGCTCCAAAGATCTTCCGAATTAATCTTACATCTTACAGCGGATGGAGACTTGGTCTTGCAGGACAGGAGAGCCCTGAGGTAAGTTGTCAGTCACTTAACTAGTACTGCTGGAGCAGAGACGCCCGCGCCACTGTGGTATTGTGACGGATTTACGGTTTAAGCAAGCACTACGTAGAATACTACTTGCTGCCCACATAACCAGGTACCCTAGTCACAGCTATTCTTCCACGCACAAATCTACTAGTTATCAGGATGTTATTTTAGAGGAACAAGTGTTGGTATAAGAAAATGCTTCATATGAAGTCATCAATCAATGAAGCCGATCAAATACAACTTGAATCGCAACCAAATACCTACATCGGAGACCAAAGTAGAATTTTGTTCAGTGGAAACAAGTGTGGCTGCAACTGTATGATACCATACCGTTACAGTAACAGGAAGCCAACGCAGACCTGCGAACGGGAGGCGGTAGCGAGAGCCTTCTTCACCTTGATTTCATTATTATTGGTATTACTCGATGCTGACCCAAGCGCGGAATTCCACTGGGGGAAGCACAAAAGGAGAGAAAGACGGCCAACTGATTAGATCAAAGACTCGAGGGGGACAGCGAGAGAGAGACACAGAGAGAGGGGGCTATCCTTTCTTCCACATGCGGTAACAACGGGAAAGTCCCTCATCTTTGTAACCTCAATCAGAGGCTTGTATCCATTCGAGGTCAACGCAGGTTCCCACAATTTGAAGATTATTAATAATATGACCATAATTATAATAAAAAAAATTGGCAGAATAATAAAATCATTCCATCCATCGAATGGGGGAAATAATTAAAAAAGACCTGTGGTTCCTTTAGGTAGCTGGAAGGAGAAAGAAGAGGGGACTGACTACTAACTAAGCAAGCCCACCCCCCCATAAGGTGCTCCTCAGCTAACTATTGCTTGGTTACTTCGACCACTGCCTCCATCATCCAGAGTCTCATACTTCAGGTTAGGTTACCTGCCCGGCACCAACCTGCGACGCCCGCGGCGTACTACGGTACCAGTTAGGGTATTTCAACCTGGGCACCCCCGGTGGACTAGGCTGAGCCCTCTTCCCTCACTCTTCCCTATTTTCTTACGAGAGCCTTTCCCCCGGGGTAATTTTCATCAGCACAACAGCTGTTTTCCCTCCTGACTTTAGTGGAATTCGCAAGGCAACGAGCCAAGTCTTCTCTTAAGGACCCTAGTCTTGTCTGTACCGTTCCATCTGGGCATTCCCGTGCCTTGTTGCGCCGTGCATCGATTTTTTTTTTCTTTAAACTGAATTTTTCTTTTTTTATTATTATTATTATTTCTTTTTCTGATTTTTTTATTTTTTCGCTGGTTCATTTTCCCTTTTCAATTTTGCCCACCCTTTGACTAAACAAAACGGAGGGGAAGGGAAAAGAAAAGGAAGAAAAAAAAAAAGTCTTATTGTAATTTCCACAACCCAAAGTCACTTTCGTCACTCTAGAAGAACACAACCCCGTCGCCTCAGGCCACCACCACGACCGGCTGGGGCCACCGCAACTTTTTTCTCTCTTCCTCTCCCCCCGTTCCTCCCAACTTTCTTCTTCATCTCTCAATTTCTTTTCCATAGCCATTGTCGTTGGCCTTTGCAGCTTCGTGCTGTAGGCTTTTAATTTTCTCCCACCTTGTCACGGGGGGCATTCTTGTGCCTCTTTACCTCCGTGTACTTTTCATTTCTCACTACCGCACATGACTCCACAATCTGCTTCACCAGTACCTTCCGCAGTCTCCTCCACCACAGCGTCACAGATATCCTATGATTCCCGAGATGGAGAGCCCCAGGTAACACGTGCTTTAGCGGGCATGAATCTGTCCGCCGCGAACGGGGATGTCCTCCCCGTTCCTCCCACCCCCGCAAAGATCGCTAGACCTACCATGGCCAATCGCATCTCTCGCATGTTCTCCAATACTGGGAAGTCGACTCCGAAAGAGCAGGAATCGCATCGCGACTTCTCAGACAGCAGTACAGAAAGCATCAAAGCTCCCTCGAACGCCAGCATCAAACAATCCAAGCCCACCTCTAAGCCCTCCTCCAAGCCTAACTCTAAGCCATCCTCCAGAGCCCCCTCGCGACAGGCGTCTACGAAAGAGGAGGCCGAGAAGAAGCCAAAGTCCAGCAATGGCAAAGATAATAAAGAAGCTGCCCCCGTTCACAAACGGTTCGAGTTGCCCGGAGATGGCACTCATAACCATCACCTCCGCAGCGCAAGACGACAGGAGAAGCTGACGGATCTACTACGTGACATGCTGGGCGGTGGCAGGAAGAAGGATGATCACGTGGACGAGCAACAGCTATCACTTATGTCTACATGGATCGACCAGTTTAAAAACGAACGGGATAAGCTAGCCGCCGACAAGAAGGGCGGCCCCAACGCCACCGCTTCGCTGGTTGACAAATACGGAAAATGCCAGGAAATCGTTGGCCGTGGCGCCTTCGGTATTGTTCGGATATCCCACAAGGTGGACCCGAGAGACTCGAAAGTTGAACAGCTGTATGCCGTGAAAGAGTTCCGTCGTCGGCCACAGGAGACGACGAAGAAGTATCAGAAGCGATTAACCTCGGAGTTTTGCATTTCCTCTTCCCTTCGCCACCCCAACGTCATTCACACCCTTGATCTTCTACAGGATGCCAAAGGTGACTACTGTGAGGTGATGGAGTACTGCGCTGGAGGCGATCTCTATACCCTCGTGTTGGCGGCCGGAAAACTGGAAGTGGCCGAGGCGGATTGCTTTTTCAAGCAGCTTATGCGTGGCGTGGAATACATGCACGAAATGGGTGTTGCCCACCGTGACCTGAAGCCTGAGAACCTGTTATTGACCACCCACGGAGCTCTCAAAATCACAGATTTCGGAAATGGTGAATGCTTCCGCATGGCATGGGAAAAGGAAGCTCACATGACTGCGGGCCTCTGTGGTTCAGCCCCTTACATCGCCCCGGAGGAATACGTCGAGAAGGAATTCGACCCTCGAGCGGTGGACGTATGGGCGACGGGTGTTATTTACATGGCCATGAGGACTGGACGCCATCTGTGGCGTGTGGCCCGCAAGGATGAGGATGAATTTTACCAACGCTATCTGGAGGGTCGTAAGCATGAGGATGGTTACGCTCCCATTGAAACTCTGCATCGGGTAAGTGTTGAGCGAACCCCTCGCTTCAAGTTGACACTGGCTCACAATGTCTCCCAGGCGCGTTGCCGAAACGTGATCTACTCTATTCTGGATCCCAATCCTTCCCGCCGTATCAACGCCTCGCAAGTCTTGAAATCCGAGTGGGTTCGTGAGATCAAGCTGTGCAAGGCTGGTGAGGAAGGATACTGATACATGGTCTCGACGGATTGATCGGACGTTGTTCCGGGCTGTGTATCCCTGATGGTGGTTTGCCTGTTTCTGTTTGTCTGCCTCTGGCGACTGCTTAAAACCATTAACCCGGGTGGTTTATGTGTTTCTCCCGTTCCTTTTGGGAGGGTTGTCTATTTTATTCATTCCCGGTCCTTCTGAGCTGTTCTATAGAAGGAGGCACCTTGATTTTACACTACTATACCGGCGCATGTTTTCTGTCTTTCTTCTTTTTCATCTGCCTACTAGCTTATGGGCTTAGTTTGGTCGTCATGTTTTCATGCCAATGCAACGAAGAGTCATGACCTATGAGCCACCTTTTCATTCCTCCCACATTTTCTTTTTTGTTCGCCATGGTTT